TAGTATTTAGTATGTATTTAATTAAATCGTTGGCAATGGTTTGCTCATCATTTCTGAATTAGGGTTGAATTGGCAGAATTCGTACTCTAATGCAATAGTGATTGAGATCACTATATCTGTAGATATAATAATAAACAATAATACAGAGATAAGCTCTGAGAGTGAGATCATATTTAACAGTGACATTCAAGCAGAGAGAAAAAAACTTCCATTATCAATGAGGGTGTACTGTGTGCTGTTATCCACTAGATGGAAATAGTAACATACACTCTGTCACACTAACTGTGGCCTCTGTGCTTTTACAGTTGGTCCACACAGGTGAGGCCACTAAACCTTCTGCTCACTGTCTCATACTTTAATAACTTGGTCTAAAAATTGTATTATCATGAAACCACTCATACGTGTAGGTGGGGGGGGGATTGCAAGTTGATGGCAATAGACACTAATTGTTGACACAAAGCAGATCTAATGTTAGGCATATACATATCTGGAAGTCAGAAATATCTGTGTTTTAAGTTTTAAGTTTAGTGCAATGAGTTTGAGTTCCACATGCAATATAAGGAGCACATCTTCCTATTGTCACTTATCTGGGCTGTGTCTGACTATACTTGAATGGTATGTAGACAGGTGTACTTCTTACGTTGGCATGGTGTCATGACAGGCAGTTATTTATCTTTCTGTTTGAATGGAGCCAATAACTGAACTCTTTTCACTGTAATATCATGGTCTACTAACAGCATCAAACTTCGGGCGCAGTAGTCAACACTCATTAGAATGCACCTTGTCCTTTTCTTTCAAACTTTATATTGTCAGAAGTGGTAGCATTGGAGAAGACAAGCAGACTTCTGTTTAATGCTCTCTAAACCTCCTGCACTTGGTCCGAAAGGCCATACTATCTAAAGCAGTGTTTTTTTTTACGCTGCAAACACTGAGATCACCTCTTTTAGTTAGACTACATTTTAGTCTGTTGATCAGGATTGTGGTCAAAGGCACCTTTCGCACCTTTTATTTTTTTTGCACTACACTGAAAGTTAGTTCTTCAGAACTCGTGGGAGCTGCAGTACGAGCCACTTCCTTCACAATATATCATATGCGATTATTTCAAGATAATAAAACAATTTGCTGCAGCAGCTTTCCAGAGAAGAGTCAATTGGTATTTTGTGGAGCCTGAATCTGTAGATCAACATTTTTGTGAGTGTCAATAAGAATTCAAGGCAAAGAGGATTCATTCCCCTGTGCCCAGTGCCTGGAGGCTCGCTCCACAGATTTAAGTAATGGAATACCATCCAATCAGTCCGTGCCTACAAAACATCAGAGTGAAATCAGCAGCCATTAGTAAAGGCTCTACTCAGCAGGCCTGCCACACTGAGAACAAAGTAGCTGATGATCATTTGGAGTGGTGTGTACCACTTAGCTGCTCGATGCTATCATCATTTGTCTTTGTCACAGAAGCAGACTCATTATCTGACTAATACAGGATTACTAGTTACATGGCAGGATGGGCCCTCTACATTGTTCCTGTAGTTCAAGGACTTAAAATAAGCTGCTGGTGGAGGGCCGACAGATAAGGCAATCAGCAGTCATAGCTATCTGTGATTATTAATTTACACCAAGATTAAAGCAGGTGCTGGCTTCTGTTGTAGGCATGTGATTCAAGCTTAACCACGAATGATCCCATGGACCAATAGCCACCACCCTCTCTGCCAGTGTTACCCCGACCAGACTAGATTTCTCAAGTAGATCTTTGCCAAAACACATCATCTGGTCAGATTTCATCAGAATTGGAACAGTGGTGTCACATTTGACTTTATAATTTTGACATTAAATTGCACCGTCATCACTGGGTATAGGGTATAGTACAAAACAGCACCTTTCAAAGATAGAAATTCTGACCTTTAATAAGGATGCAGTGACATTTTATGGCTAAATCCTGGAGCACAGTGTCTAGGACACACCGTTTTGATACATACAAGGGCAACCGTATCTAAAATATCAGATTTGAAGGACAGACAGGCTGATCCACAGTGTGTCCTTGCATGAAGGACATTGAGATGGTTGTGGAGGTATTTCATAAGTGTGGACACTGTCATTGTCATCACAGTCAGTCAGGATACTGACCCTCTAATGCTCCTGAAATCAGTGCTTGTTGAGGAATCTCTCTAAAAGCCTGCAGCTTATCTTTCCCTCCATCTCCGCAGATACTCATCTGAATACATCCAGGCTGCATGTGTAATTACAACAGTCTCTAAAGAGGGTCCCTCAAGATCACATGATGTCCCCAGGTCCTCAGCGAGGATGAGTTGATGACATCATGATCCACGCACTTCTGGCTCTCTGATTGGTGCAAACCTTACCCTGACTCACAGGTCTTAACCAACGGCTTGTAGCTACTATTAGAGTGAAACTATTAAAAACTTTTATGTCTTAAGTGTTTAAAATCATGACCAATAAAGTGATCAGTCATATGAGTCTGCAACTACCTGCTCTAGTAACTTGTTATTCCTTACTTGAATTGAGAGTCAGTATTGAGAACGGAGAAGCAGAATTGGAAAGAGGAAAGAACTTGAGTAGTTTTAAACTCCAGTAAAAGTCTTTCACTGTTTTCTATTGTTTCCTTGATGGAATCCAATACAGCCAAATTTGAACTTAACACTTAACATCGTTCACCTATATTTAATTTATTCATTTATATATTTTCATTCATGATGTTATGTGCTGCAGTTGCTAAAGTATGAAAAAGCACCTAGAACTGACTTTGTTAAATGTGCTGTACAAATGATCTAGAGCAATGATCAGTTTGTATTCAGCACTTTTCTGTATTAAAGGTTTCAGTGTATAGAATTGAGCGACATCTAGTGGTGAAGTTGCATACTGCAGCTGAATACCCCTCAACTCACGCTCCCCTAGTGTTTAGTGTATAGTTTGTCTGATGCCAGTGTACCAGAAAGCCTTTTCTACTCTACATGTATTTACCAGCTATTATAAAATAACACAACACCTCTCTCCACACTCACAAAACTGCTTTATCAATTATTTTTTCTTTTTCATCCCTATCATTTTCGGTGACCCTTTGTCATTCCCTTGTGCAGCCAATCAAACCTTTGACATTTTTCCCTGTGTCCCCTTTTTTCTTGGCTCGCATACTGAATCACACGCAGCTAAATAATCAGAGAGGAGGACTTAGCAACGTGACGGCAGGTGCAGCTGTGTCTGTATTTTACTTTTCATATCTAGTCACAATTATGTGTGAGATTAAATCTGCCGACCTGCTTGTCTCATCTAATCTAAAAACTGTCACACAAAAAGAGGCAACAATGATTAAATCAGGATATAATCAGTCCCTGCTGCCTGTTACTTGAGAAGCTCAAAAGCTCTTTTGAGACACTTCAGACTCTGTGAGCCAATCACAAGCTTCGTTTTCTCGCACAATGTCACAATAAGATGTTAATTAGGCGGGCAGCCGAGATGGGTACTAGCAGTGACACGGTAACAGTATAGCTAAAATGAATTGGACCGACTGTACATCTGGGCTTTTTCAGTAAAAGAGGCTTTAGAGAATCAAAATAGCACTAGAGGCTTGAACGTGAACAGCGTTAGAGCGTGCAATCACACACACACACACACACACACACACACACACACTTCTCTCAGCAATAATATCAAATTTTAGCCTTCGTTTCTTTGGCTCAAGAGTCATTTATGTCTGCCTGTGAGTTCTTTCTCATCATAATCACTTCTTATCTTGTTCAGCGCAGCTTCTGCTCATCTCTCATCTGCTTCATTTCACTCGAGTTCTTTGTTAGACGTCCACTTTCAGTTCCTCGCCTCTCCGCTGCCATCTCTTAGACCTACACATGGCCTGCGGTAACCAGCCGACCGACATTGATTGCCAAACTGCCAATTTATGTTTCAGTGCAGGTAAACAGTAGAAGTGTTGCACATGAGCAGGGATCCTCCGTCGTTCTCTTTTCATTGAACTGCTGCCCTGACTTGATTGAGGAGTCATGATTGTGGTAGAGTGAATTCAATATTCAATTTCTCCTGACAGAGCCTCATCTTTAAACCTGCTGACCGTAATGTTGCTGGGGGGTAACCATGGCAATCTTGAAAAAAACAATCAGAGCTTGATTTGATCTTTAGGGGTCTTTGACAAGGCTCCTCACCCCTCCCCCTCTTCTTAACACAGATGCGTCTCCACCTTCGCCCATCCTCACCTTCGGCCCCGTATCCCTGACACACTTCCCGCCCGGGGTTGCTAGGTTACGGTGACTCCTTGAAACTGGGAGGGGGCGGACAGCTGGGTAAGTGGAGGGGTGGATGGAGATGGACGAGCGAGGTGGGGGCAGACGTAGAGTCTCTAGCACTCGCCTATTTAGTCTGCCTTTGTTTTTAATCTTCTAACAGTCTCTATTGGCAGCGAGACGCTCAGACGCTGCGTGAGCCCAATTAGGCTTAGACCTTTCTCCTTAAGAACTGATGTCTTTGTAGCCATTTTTTTAGCTGGTGCAGAATATAGAATTGTTCTTTGAACATGTTCATACAGTGTGGGGGGTTCAGAATCTAGCTAATGAGTCACTTAGTGTATTTTCATTGGGTTCATGTTTTTTCATCAACAAAAGTTTTTTTGCTTTATGAAACCAAGTATCCCTTTCTATTTAAAACCACCAACAGTGATGGAGATACAGGATCAGTCCCCAAGAATGGACTGGCATTGTACCAAGAAATAGAAACAAACTGTACGCCATTTAGATAAAGTTTTAAATTAGATTACTGTTGTGCCAACCTTTTCCTTTTTATGTGTTCACTACAACACCTTTATTAAGTTTGAAAACCAGGTACAAAAGTTCTCTAAACATAATGACTGACATGAATCTGCTCCCATCTTTTAAGATGTTGAACATTTTATTTAAAGCTGCAGTAATAAAGATTGTATATGGTTACAATGACTGGGTAGAAAATGGTTGCTCATAGTGATAAATCTACAGAGGATTTTCACCCACCTGTAGTACAGCTCAGCTCTGCCAAGTATTCTTGCATCTTTCGTTGAGGTGTTTTGGATTTTCAGCCCACAACTTTACCGGCGTGCTTCAGTCTCACTGCTCATCAGAGCTGGTTTTTGTGAAAGAGTAGAAAAAGCAGTTTTCAGTTAAAAAGTTCTCAAGACCAGCTGCACATTAATCAAATAGCAGACAGTCAGTTTGTGACTATAGCTGGTGGTGATCAAAACAGAGCTCAATGGTCAGGCTATAGTCAATTCACATTCAGGTGGACAGAAACAAAACTCTAAAAAAAATGCCAGCACTGCTATAGGTTTGAAGGATGAATAAATGGGGAAATGTTTGGACTTAAGTCATATTAACCAAAAGATAATATGTCATTTCGTTTTGCAGTATTTTTATTGCTCCTGAGTGGCCAACACACTGATCAATTTAGATTTAAGCAAATATCTACTAAATAAAAAAAAATCTACATGGATCCCATCAGTTAAAGGTACAGTGTGTAAAATTGTGTGATAGCTAGTGTTGAAGTTTCATGTTGCAGCTGAACACCCTTCACCTCACCCTCTCCTTCCAAACATGAAAAAGAACCTGTGGTAGCTTCAGTTGTCATAAAAACTCAAAAGGTGTGTAGTTTGTCCAGTCTGGACTAATGTAAAAAACATGGTGGCCTCTGTAGAGAGGGTCCCCTCGATGTAAATATAAAGTTTTTGATAATAAAGGGTCTTTTCCGAGGTGAAGAAAACTACAATTCATACAATTTAGATTAAATGAACTAGTGAAAACATCATGAGAATTTCCCAAATCTTACACACTGGACCTTTAAAGCGTACACATAAACCATCCTGTGTACCCCACTGTCAATCAACCAACCGATTTAAAGTTTGTGGGACCCAAATGCAGACGCTGGACTTCGCAGCAAGACAAATGTTTGATTAAATGTACAGACGTGCAGCCACTACGAGGCAAAAAACCCCTGAAAATCCAAAACCCCACAAAAAAAAACCATATACACGAGGGAGAATTGTAAAATCCTTTAAAGAAAAGGTCCAAAACAGTCTTTCGATAAAAGGGCAGAATCACGACACAACCAAGTAGTGCTAGTTCCCTATTGTCGATGCCTGTTATTTACTGGAGTTTCAGTAAGTAATGACATTCAAAATGTAGAAATCATGAATTCTGTTCAAGTGGAGTAATACTCATTCAGGGTGATGGTTTGCTGTTGCACATCCTCTGCAATTTCACAGATGCATTTTGTAACCAGGTTTTTAATTTTTTTAGCTACACCCAAAAGATTAAAAAAGTAGACAGCACAATCCACAGGGAGCCTCTTTTTGAAATTCCCCTCATCTTGAATGAGTGAAATGCAATTCATGAAAGCTCATAATTGTCAGACATTATTTTGATTATAAAATCTTTGGTAGAGTTGTTAAAGAAATAATTACCCTGGGGAATCTGCTCATGCTTTCTAGCTGAGAAGATCAGTACCACTCTCATGTCGGTTTCTATGAAGCTAAACCCAGCAGGCAATGAGCTTATCTTAATATAAAGACTGGAAACAGGAAAACAGTTGCTCTGGCGCTGTCCAAAGCTCAACAGAACTTCTGAGGCTCACTAATTATTATATTATATCTTGTTTGTTTAATCAGTACACAAACCAAAGACTCTGCTGGTTACCAGGCTTCCAAAACTACAGACTCCAGGAAGTCTCAATGGCTATAGCTAATAACTTCAAAACAAAACTGGGTTGGGTTTTTTTTACATAACAGTCCAGTAGATGGGTAAATCAAAGATACAATGTGTTTAGAGAAAGTTCAAGACAATTTTTTTTTTTACTTTGAACAGAGTCTCCTGTTCCGAGGCCCATTTATGCTCATTTATGTGTGTATGTGTGTATGTGTGTGTGTGTGTGTGTGTGTGTGTGTGTGTGTGTGTGTGTGTGTGTGGGGCTAATGGAAGTATGTGTGCAGTGATGGTTACATCGTTTGAAATGGACATATCTTTTCAGTAAACTTATATTCTCTAGCACTTAGCACATGTGGGGGCTGTACCAACAAACATTTCTTAAACCTCTCTGTTCAATTCCGCTGCACAAACACAATTCTGCAGTAGAGAGATGACACAGACAGCGAGAGCTCTGTCCTCTTCTGCATTATTAGTCAAATTGCTTTCAATCCCTTAGTCCCTCGGAAGGTTTATTACAGCTGCGTGTGGTGGCTAACTGCTGAGAGGCCGGATGAGGATGAGAGCCGTGTTAATTTACAGCTGTTGCAGTGACAGCACAATCACTGAGGCTGGGAGGGGGACATGAATTGCTTTCATTCCAGCTGAACGTGGTGCTGGTGGTGATCATTAAGCTTGGTTGGTTAGTTAGCATGTGTACAATTAATAATACAAGTCCGTGCTGTAATGGCTTTGTTTTAATTAGTTGTTTATCATTCAGGATACGGTTGTTTTGTGGAACTGCTGTTTAGCTAATCGAACTGTCATTTAAAATGCATAGATGTTCTCTTTCAAACAGGAAGATTTGATGTTTCTGTGCTATTGTTTTCAATGTGGCTTATGACATGCTGCACATTCTATACATGCCACATACTGTCGATCGAAGGTGTGGTGCAGTGTCTGGTATATTGCATGCCATTATTGAAAGACATCACATTGTGTCTTTATGACCCACTCAACATTTGCACATTCCTGCTAAACAACACTTGTTCAGTTGTCCTTCCAGTCCTCCGTTCCAACAACAAGCTTTTTGTGTATGACATCAAAGGGGATCTTTGGGGACTCGTCCTCTTCCTTTCACCTCATCCAATCTGTCGGAGGTAGCTGCAAGTCTTGTTGCTGACCCAACCAGATTGCTGCACAAGCCTCCCTTTCACAGAATGATACTGTCAGAAAAACTAACAGAGGAAGCCTCACCAACATTTTTATTGCTGCACTTTGAGAACAAAGAGAAATAGTTTTGTGTCTCTTCAAAGTGATTCTCAGAGCTGTGATGGATATACAGTACTTTCTGCACAACTGGCGCTGTGTTTAAAGAATTACCTGTATTCTGTAATGTTCACTTTCCCATCAATTGTTTACATTTTTGAGTTTACCATTAACTATGATTCTAAATGTGCAAGACGGCTGCGTTGATATTTTGGCTTCATTTCTGGATTGTGAGGGGAAGTGGAGACTTGTGGAGTCATTTTTGGGACTTATAGGTTACAGTGGTGCTTTGAGCCAAATGCTAAATGATAACATTCTCACAATGGCAATGCTAACACACTTGTTTTATAGCTGACAATTCAAGCAACTACCTTTAATACATATAAACACACACTCATGAAAATACATGAAAAATAAACACAAAAATAAAGATGCATTGATACATATCATGCACCTATAAACACATGTATAGAGACCCACACATGCACACACTCACACACACTAGTGGCTGCCTATAAAGTGTCCATATTGTGATGCTTATTGTAAAAAAGAAACAATCTGCTACCATTAAATGATAAGAAAACAAACAGCATAAGTTTTTAACACTCCTCCTGAAAAAACAACAACTTTTCAACACCTCCTACTGTGCATGAGCTTCACTGTGAAACCATGGTGATAGTATTTATTATAGGGATCTTTTGTCAGATGTTAGCCTTCAGCATAACGGATGATAATGTATTTCTGGATTCAAAAGTGAGGCTATGCACTTTCTTTTAAAGGCCAGTTACCCTCCACCTCTCTGGTTATCGTTCATCCATACCTCAGGTCATTAATCTCCACTTTACATCATGTTACAACAGCTCTTGCTGCCACTCATGCCTCATGGTGCACTTTGACAACCAGGTCCACACACAGCCCACCTGTCAACAGTGGAAGTAAAGCATGGTGTGTACACATCATCAGCAATCAAGAGTTTATGACTCTTGTCAAACAAAAACCAATGACAGCCACATGTATTTACTTCAATGTGTTTTTGTCTGTAGAAGCTTGACCAGTCGCAAAGGGGTAAAAAGCCGAGATGTTCTCACAGCCATCATTCACTTTGCTCAACCAAACTAAATTGTGTTTACAGAGTGATTGAAAAGCAATTGCCTGACCCATGTTGATAACCTGCTTTCCAGAGCGGGGGATCCTGGCTACATTTATCACTGACTGCCCCGATCTGAGTGGTATTTACGTGGACTGGGGGAAAATCTGCTCTGACACATCAAAGGGGCAGCCACTGGAAACAGCCATGGCAACCAGTCTGCCTCACCGTGACATCACCACAGAGGGCACAAAAACCACGTGACCTTAGATTTTTTTCCAATAGTTTGATCTCATGTAAAATGCACGTTAATAATGCAATACAACAACATAGCTTTTTCTGGTGCTTTCAATGACACTTGAAAGATAGCAAATCAGTCCTCAAAACGAATCAATACATTTGAGATAGCTCCTCAGAATTTTGCAGTTTCTTTGTCCTGATCCTGATGACTGAGCAGACAAAAAGAACATACTAGGAGAACAACCTTCTTAAAACTAGAGCATTCCATCAAATACACCTTGAGTCTGCAAACATCTGCCATGCTCAAGTATCTAAAGAATGAAATGGAACAAAGATGCAAAGGTTTGTGTAAAGAAGACTTTGTGCACTCTGGTACACAATCACTTCACTGAGATGGAGGCAACATAATAGAGGTGGTCAGGGTAATGCTCTAGACATGTTCATGGATGAGAATCTTGGATGAAATCTCTTTACTGCAGCTATAGGGAGCAAATGTCAGTTTGGCAGAGCTACTTTACTAATCCATGTATCAAAACAGGATCTGAGGGGAGATGAAACTAGAAGGAGGACTTCATGATCAATTAATAATAACCAATAACTAATAGAGGTGTGTGTGTTAGCCAGAGATGGTATATGATGGAAGACAGGTGCCCCAGAAGTGAAGTCTGGTGGCTGGCTGCAGTTTTAGTCATAACTCCTGCTTCCTACATATTAGTGGATGACACATGGATCAAATTGAAAGGTCAAACTATACATCAGATAATTTTTTCGAAAAGATGGTTTACGTCATTTTAAGTTGTTCTTATCACTTCCC